TCCTTCCACTCCGAACCGACAGGCTGACTTAGTGACTTGCTTACTGTAATTCGGTTTCGTTATTAGTTTAGACGACGGCATTGGATAATTTAATTGTGTTTGTGATAATTACATTTGTATATGTGTAAAGTTTACATTATTGTTCTTTGCTTTTGAGTTGTAAATGGAAAATAATGTATTCACACTGGCAGTTTGGTTGCGGACTTCAAGCATTACGGACGGAACTCACAACGGTGCTCCATTTAAAATTGAGATAGTACCAAAGAAATAATATTTACTAGACGAGTGCCATACACATTCAACGATTATAATGGCTTCGTCCTTTATCAACCAAAGTAATCCCAGAGCGAATGTTTTCATTTTCGTTAATTTGGGTTGTGAAATGTTGTATGTCATCGATCAACGCCTGAAAGCGCAACAAATAGCTGAAGAGAAGTCAATTCAAGGTAAGCCTAAATCGGCTGACCGTCATATGGCGTGTGTTCTTGTATATGTGTATATGTGAGTGCGTGTGTGTGTGCGGGTACTGAAAGTGTGTCTGTGGAAAGTGTCCTTATCCGTTCCTAACAGGAAGTACTTTCCGTTTTAGTTGTTCAGTTTTGTATGTTTGCACTTTTAATTGGCGTCACTGCAATGCGAAAGGAGAAAGAACTTTACGCCAACAAATCAACAATAATTTTAATGATAATGTCTACAAATTACCTTACCACATGCAAAATAAATATTTTCTTTTATTTATTTTGTTTTTAATATTCTTAAAGGATATATAATTATATAAAGAAATTATAATAATTACAAAAATATGTGAGCGTTCTGTTCTTATAATTGTTGATTGTATAATAAAAAGATTGCAGGCCAAGAAAAATAATTTCCAGTAATTTTTGTGATTTATTTGTATAATTTATGTATATTTAATGTTGAAAAATATCACAAGTGGGAGTAATAAAGTTAATTGAAAAATAATAACTATGTTTACAACAAAAGGGATATTTGGTTATGCTTAAAGTTATTTAAAAAATAATTATATGTGTGTGAACCCATAGAGTTTACAGGGAGCCTTGTTAGTTCTGGTTAAGATTATTGTTTAATTAATCATAATAGTGGCGGAAATAATATGTAAATACGACTGTTGAGCTAGAAGAAATACTTTGTTATGCTTAGAGTTATTTGAAAAAATAATATATATGTGAACCCATAGTTTACCGGGCTTTAACAAGCTTTCCTTTATTACTGGTTAAGATTATTGTTTAATTAATCACAATAGTAGAGGAAATAATACGTAAACGTATAAATTTTCATAAGAGTACTATTTTTCAGCTAGAAGGAATACTGTGTTACGCTTAGAGTTATCAAAAAATATATACATGTGAACCCATAGTATTACGGGATTTTAACGGGAGCCCCTATTCTTGGTTAAAATTCTTGTTTAATCATAATAGTTGCAGGAATAATATGTAAACATATAAATTTTGAGCTAGAAGGATTACTTCGTTACGCTTAGAGTTATAACAAAAAAAAAAATATACATGTGTATACAAAGTATTATGGGGTTTTAGCGGGAGCCCCTCCTTTCATATTACAGACTTTTGCTATATTAGTTTTCAATTTGACAAGAATTTAGAAAGCACCCAGAAAGCAGAAGCTAGCTACCCTAGTTTCGGTAATAAATAGAGCAGACACTAAAAAATGTGATGAAAAAAGTGGAGATCTGGACGCAGATTGAAAACCAAAAGCGTAGGGTTTGCAACGTTAATATAAAAGAGACCCTCCCCAAAGTAATGTGAAAGCGGTTCTTGCCGGGAATAAATCTCTCCGAATAGGGGGTTTTTTAGTCCGTATACTACATATTAATATATTAGAGAGTCGGGCACACCATTATGAGGACGGAAGGTTTGCCGGTGCATAAAGCATTTCACTTTCTCACCACACAAAAAAAAAGTTTCCAGTTTGAGAAACACTGTAGGAATATCTTTCTCAGATAAGGTCTAACATAAAGTTCACTCAACGTTGTCTTTTGAGTGTTATAGTTTGAAGATTATAGCTCTGAGAGCCTCATTGCAGTATACAAGAGCAGACATAGAAGTAAATACGCTAAACATTTCAAAACCTAAATTGATCTAAGCCAAAGGCTGTGGACTATGATAAACGAAAAAGATTGAATCGGTATCACATCACATCACTAATATACACTGAAAGTGTAACAGTTAAGAATTCGTCATATTTAGCTGTGTGTCCTTAATATATCTAATACCGAATATATTTGTATTATATATATACAGTGAAATTCGATGTTAAATTTGTGATTAAATATAGTAATGGGATTTCTCAACTAATTTCTAGGTCTTAAAAAACTACGATGATGACTTATTATTAGGGTACAAGTATTCTTAATATATTTTTACTCTAAAAATTCGTATAGACTATTATAATTATTGAAGCAGTATTAGTTCCTAATGGACGATATCCTTACGATCTCATCAAATATATTATTGTGCATCAATTTTATTCTTCATATTCTTTGTTTAGTCACTGTTCATTTTTTTTATATTAATTTTGTTTTTCTATAACGTTGGATATACGATCTACCTTTCACGAGTTGATATCATTATGGTGAATTTGCAGATCCTTAGCAAAATCGTAACTTTTCATATACCGCTGTTCTAGAACCTCATGGATAATTTAGTCAATTTCTTTGACAATCAGCGGATGTAAATGAGATGACTATATTATGAGGACTATATTGGATGCCATAGCACTTGTGATTTTTCTATGTAATCAAATGTCCATACAAGTAATCCTTAAGTAACGTCAGTTCTCGGTCAGTCTTCGGTTTGTTTAATTATTAAATATGGCTTCTTTTACATTGATAATTATTTGTGTTATCTTAAGTTCCTTATGTGCCAATTTTCCAATTTCTGTAAGAAACATTTATAACAAGACGACTGCAATCGACCTATTGAGGATATACGTGCCGTATAAATTTTGTATATTTATGTAGAAACGAATTTTGAAATCAAATTTTTTTGATGATATTTAATATATTTAAAGATATCCAATTAAATCCATTTATTTTGATACTAATTATTAACTGATTATATTTATTTTATTTACAGTCATGCACGATATAATCAATGTTCTACTGGAAACTAAATTCATTGATTCGCTTATGCGTGGCTCAGTGCATAGCAATGCTCAACTTTTTAAAGTGAATCAATGCAAATTTATGTTAAAAGACGTTGCCACATGTTCACTAATGCGTTTGGATGAAGCTTCTATGGATAAACTGTGGAATCTAATGACAATGATCTATAAATGGCAACTGTTCGTAACGAAACATCAAGTACATCTTTTGGATATAACAATACGTCATTTAGACACTGTATCGAAACTATATCCAGATTTCAAGTGTAATATGCTTATCGATTATACAAAAAACACACTTTTAGATTTTTGGAATAATTGCGGCGAGGAAGGACAATTATCTATATATCATACTAATATTGCATGGGTGCAGTGTTTCAATACAAAAATTTCTTTACTCATAAGACTTGGTTTTCAATCGAATGATGGATTACTCTTACGAGATGTGCCGGAAGAGTATTTTGAAGAGTTTGTAGATTCAATTGGTGATAATATATATGTGAAAAGCACTGAAATCGTTAGGCAGCCTAGAGACATTGGATCCACTAAAGGTTCCACAACAAATCGCATTGATCAATTAGCTGAACTCTTAAATTTTCAACAAACATTTTGTGATGATCTCAAACCGATAAATCCTACACAATTTCAAAAGCAATTCGAAAAAAATCTTCAACAATGTAATATACTTTTTGAGGATTTGGATGTAAATAAAATTAAGGAAACTTCAAATATTATTTCACCATTTGATGGAATAAATTCCCATGAATCTGGAGAATTTGTGCAATTGAAGCCAATTTATAATAGAAGTTCTGAAATCACAAGTACAGTTGGGAACAAAGCTGGGAATGCTACCATTAATGGTAGTAATTTTAGTCTGGACAAAAAGTTATTAAACTTGTATAGTGAGATGAATTAGACTTAAATTTATTTTTTGATATATAGTATAATTAATTAAATTTCATATGTGAACAATCAAATTAATTAAATTATTTTGGATTGTAAAAAACTCTGTTTGCCAGTAAGATACTTCTCTATATAATCTAATATTTTTTGTTTATAATAAGGAGATGTTAAATACCAGTAATTACTCGTTTTATTATAATCTTGACTATTTGTAAGTTGTCAACATATAAGTTATTAATAATATTATAAAAGCAACATGGTTTTCCAGAAATTTGTGGAGTCCGATAAGAACAATCCACCATTAACAGATACTGCTCTTCATAAATAAAAAAACAAACAAAAAGAAATATTTATCAAAATTATACTGTCTAAAGTCCATACTATAATTGTCGAATCCTCATTTATTCTTTCAATTCATTTATTCTTTAAGATCTACACCGATATGCATAGATTTAAAACATTTAACACATGATTCATCTACCAGCCAACGCGATCAATGGTTTGGAGTCGCTAGTTGGTAGTACCGAGCGCCCTTAAAGCTTTTGTCATCTGGGCTTTCTACAGAAGAACAGATGTCCTCTTCCGTGTTTTCTACCTATGAGTACTGTATTAAACGCAGAAAGGAAACTACTAGTACTAGCTGGAGTATTTTCTTCCATTCACACGAAAAGCCAGCGAGGCCGCTGAATTTTTATGCATTTAATTATGTCAGTGTCGTGGTATAGCTTATCGTTCCATCTAATTTGATACTTAATACTCCTGAGTGTATCAACATCTTCATTTAAAGTATCCCATCTTATTGAGAAACGTATATGTTATATAGTAAGATACTCTGAGCTTTACTCTGAGTTAACAAAATGTTAAGAGAAAATCGTAATATTATACTTGAATAAATATATTACTAAGATATAAATAAACATATATATATACTTTATATATATACATACATATCATGCTATACATAATTGTAAATTCTACTCAATTATTTGTTCAGTTTCAGCATTTATAATTTTCTCTTCCAGAGATGCATCTTGGTATTGCTGATATTCAGAAATAATTTCATTTAAATTATTCGCGGCTTCGGTAAATTCAAGTTCGTCCATTCCTTCATTTGTGTACCAATGTAGAAATGCTTTTCTCTTAAACAATTTAGAAAATTGCTCTGATACCCTTTTAAAAATTTCCTGCACGGCAGTGTTATTACCAATAAATGAAGCGCTCATCTTGAGCCCACACGGAGCTTTGTTGTAAACAGCAGTCTTACAATTGTTCGGTATCCACTCAATAAAATAATTACTATTTCTCTTTTGTATATTAAGCATTTGGTCATCAACTTCTTTCATTGAAATACGTCCACGAAATACTGCAGCCATAGCTAGGTAACGTCCATGGCGAGGATCACAAGCAGCCATCATATTTTTAGCATTACACATTTGCATTATTAATTGACGTACTGTTAAAGTCTTATTCGCTAATAAAGAGCGCGGAGAGAGTGGCACAAAACCGGTGATAAAAAAATGTAAACGTGGAAATGGTACCATATTCACAGCTAATTTACGCAAATCGGCATTCAATAGACCAGGAAAGCGTAAGCATGTCGTAATACCAGAAGTTGTGGCAGAGACAAGTTCATTTAGGTTGCCATACGTGGGATTTCTCAATTTTAGTGTTCGATAACATATGTCATATAGTGCTTCATTATCAATAACAATTGTTTCATCCGTATTTTCGATTAATTCCTGAGCACTTAACACACAATTGTAGGGTTCCACTACCGTTTCTGATACTTTTGGTGAGGGTATAACAGAAAAGGAAAGTAACATACGGTCAAGAAATTCTTCTCTTAATTTCGATATTAGTAATGTGCCTAAGCCTGACCCAGTGCCACCGCCCAATGCATGAACAATTTGAAAACCCTTTATAGATTGAACTTGTTAGTACATACTCGTATATTATATATATTAAATGGGGATATGAACCGGTTTTGAACCAAAAATTAAACAAACCATTGTTATTTTGGATTATATAATGGTGAACTGAACTTTCTTAAGCCATTCAACTGTAACGGTTCAAAACATAAGTTTGTTCGGAAAGTAACAACTATCTATGTATCTATATATTTATCAATCCATATTTATTTCTATCTAGTTTTTACCTAATAGAGGGTTTAAATGTATTTTTGGGATTTTCTTCTTAAACGTCAAGAAAATGTGGTTTATTTTCTTGGTGGTTTTTCTTCATGGTGTAAGATAAACTTGGGACGATAAAAAGTGTTGTCTACAACAATATTAAATTCTGGAATAAGGATTATTGAGTCAAAAAAAGGAAGTGTTTCTAATCACTTTTAAGTCGACATTTATCAGTAAAATGTGATGGTATTTGTTTGGTTGGATTTCAAAAGGTTTTACAGCTTGGATAAAGTATAGCGATAAATCCACCATATTCGTCAGATTTGGCTCTTACTGATTATAATGTATTTTAGTTATACAATATTATCTAAATGTTGAAACCCGTGCTTCAAATGAGGAGGTCAAAAATCAAAATTTTTCCAGCCAAAATAAAAAAAAGGACTTGGATCACAATGGACAACATATAATTCCATGAAACATTATAAAAAAATTGTTTTTTGTTTTCCGAACAACACAATATATACGGTTCACAGCTCTACCCTTTCAATGTATAACAAAATTTGTTTGCTCACCTGTAAGCAATCACAACACTCACACTCTTTTCTAATTGTATCCAATATGGGTTCTATTAATTCTGCACCTTCCGTATAATAACCTTTTGCCCAATTATTCCCTGCACCTGCTTTACCATATATAAAATTATCGGCACGAAATATTCTTCCAATTGAACTGGAACGTACTTTATTCACTGCACCAGGTTCAAGGTCCACAAGTACTGCCCTTGGTACATATTTCGCTTTCGCTGTTTCATTATAATACACATTGATACCGTCTTGCAGCTTACACCGTTTGCCGCAATAGCGACCCTCTGAATTAATACAATGTTCCTTTGATATGGCTTCCCAAAACTTAGCTCCTATTTGGTTTCCACACTGACCAGCTTGAATATGGACTATCTCACGCATACTTATAGTGATTCTTTATGTTGAGTTTACTTTATGTACTCGTAAATACATTTATATAGTTGATATAGTACTATTAGATTTTTTTTTCTTATAAATACTGTTCTTTTTATATTAAAGAGATATATACTTATTATACTTTCATGTATAATTATAATACATACATACAATTATGACAATTTTTTAATTAATTTTTTTTTTAAAGTTTATTACAATGTGTTATTGATTATTACTTTAATTTATTATTACATATATATTAAATGAGTTCCATTTTATATTTTTTGATAAGCTTTAAAGCCAATTATTGTTATGTATATAGGCTAGGTATAACGGGCGCTTCTTGAAGCACACATCAGCATTTATTCTCAGAGACAATTACTGTACAATATTTTATCTAAGTGTGACACCCTTAAAGTTACTAGGAGGACATAATCCATACTTACCATTGTTTCCAACACAAAATGCATTGCTTCCAATATAGAAACCATTGTTTCCAATATAGAAACCTTTGTTTCCAATACAGAAACCATTGTTTGAAATATAGAAACCATTGCTTTCAATATAAAAATCTTTCCTTCTTGCTTACAATATAGACCCTATTGTTTCCTTGTTAAGGAAATCCGATGTTACTTACTTTAACACTATCGGAGCAGTATAGAAATGGAATCGCAAACATTCGAACAGCTTCGTCCGTAGTTTTGGATGGCGATATAGAAAGTACTTGATAGCTTCCACTTCCACCTTATTATAGCAATAGCTGGACAATTAGTTCATTGGAAGGTGCCAACGTTAAATCTTTGATGCAATAGAACAGCGCTCCGTTAGTACTCTAGTAAGCACACGAACTATAGGTTTGCTGAAACTCAAAAGATCTTTGCTTATGTCATCTAATCTATGTTGTAGGGTCTCGATGACTATGTGATTAGTCCATGTGTTATTTATCAGCGCAATGGCGAATTTATATTTGTTTCTCAACAGTTAACGCATCGGGGGGGAGCTCTAATAGAATTTTTGTAGTAAAACGGATCTTTACAAAGCCTATACTGTATGAAATGATGATTAGATATGTATTCAATAATTCCCAGCAGATAAACTTATAACTAGATCTATGACAAACGTGACAACTCATGGAAATTCTTTGTCAGTATCTCATTGATACTGATGAGATAGATCAGTATCGATAGATCTGTGACAGACTTGATATCTAATGGAAATTCTTTGTCAGTATCTCATCGTCATTAATTTTGATACAGTGAATATTTTGCAACTATATTATTATTGTAAATATATTAAAATTATATATAAATAAAATATATTATTTTTAATCTATTAAAATAGTTTCATTTTATTATTTCTTTTTACGTATTTAGTTTTTTTTCAATTTTTTTTTGTTTTAAAGATTTTTCTGAGAAATTTTATAAAAATTAGTTTGGGATTGCAATTAAATACACAAAA